CCCCCAGGAGGGACGGGACCCGCGGGGAGGTGGAAAGGAGCCGGGGGATGCTCAGGATGGACCTGGCAGCTCTTGGGGAGAGCACGGATGGGAACTCAGATGGGAACGCCCTGGGAGGGGGTGGCTCCCCCCGCCCGGGGGTGTTTGGGGTCGGGATGGGGAAGGGGAGGATCTCGGATCTCTTCTTATTTCTGCGAGTGGGGCGGGGTGGGGCGGGCAAGCACAGAGCGAGGGAACAAATGCTCTGCAGAGACCTTGGGGCCAGAGGGTGGGGGTGGCTGGGGACACCCCTGGCGTCCCCCTGTGCTTCTTTTGGGGTTGTCTGACTGTTTTTTAGCACAAGAGCATCCCGGGGAGGTGGGCAGATGGGGGGGCAGGCTCAGCTGGAGGGTGTGGTGCCAACCAGAGGTGAGCAAGGCCCTGTTTCCCCCAGCAAAGCTGTCCCCAGGGTGTCAGGGGCACAGGGGCTCTGCAAAACATTTTGGGGTGCCCCCAGACCTGAGCACACGCCGAGCCATGGATGAACAAAGCCGGCAGCACCCGTAATTCTCTTCCCAAGAGAGGAGATCCAGGGAATATGCTGTTTGTCCCAGCTCAGGAGCCGGCCCTGGCACCCACCCACCCCCCAGTTTGGGGGCACCCCGGGAGGAGGGAGCTGGGGCTGGGCAGGGGGTGCACCCAGCCACCCTCTGGCACTGCCGTGGCCTGCCCCACCTCTGGGCTCGCAGCCCCTGTCCCCTCCTGATCCGGGGAAAAGTGGCTGCTTTTTAACTCAATTATGGGAAGAGAGAGGCAGGAGGGTCCCGGGCTTGGCTTGCCGCCCGGCTTTCGCAGGATTTTGCTGATTTCCCAGAAAAAACCAAGCCCCCAGGCGCTGAGGACAGTGGTGGCCCCGGGGTCGGTGTTTAACGCCGCTGGCTCCGCGTTTGCGGCTGGCTGGAGCAGGACAATGGGGATGAGCCTCGCTGGGTGGGAGAGCAGCTGCCCGCATTAACCCGCCGCCCCTGCATGCACAGCCGGGCTCTGGCTGGTTCCCAGCCAGCCGGGGTCGGGAGGATCCTCTGGAGCCCAGCTCAGCCTCGTCAGCAGGGGCCTGATGGAGCAGGGATGGGAGCAAGGGGCACTTCAGGGTCAGCCTCCCAAACCTGGCATGTCCAGGGTTCACCAGGCCTTGGGGAGAAATCCCAGGAGCTGGGCAGTGATGGGTGCCCGTCCCTGGGTGTCCAGAGGTGTTAGAGATGGGGTGAACAGGTAAGGAGGGGACACACTGGTGGCACTCCATGTGCAGCTTGTCCCCACATGCCAGCCTGGGCAGGGTGGCAGCGCTGGATGTGACAGTGGCAGGAGGAGGAGGAGGAGACAAAAGGTTCTGCTCTCCTGGAGCCTGGGGGGAGATGGAGGACACGAATTCCCCCAGCATCCCCACAAACCCCNCTCCTCCCCGGGCTGTAGAGAGAAGGACAACGAGCCCCGAACACGTCACGGTGACCCCGATCCCGCCCGCCCCCGGCGCCGCTCCAGGAGCTATTCCCCCATCAGGAAGAGGAGACGCGACTCGCCCAGCTTCATGGAGCCCAGGAGGATCACCAGGTGTGTCCTGGCACGGGACAAAGGCTCTGCCACTGCCACAGTCACTGCCATTGCCACTGACACTGACACTGACACTGCCAATGCCATGGCCACTGACACTACCCAGGGCTGGGCTCTGCTGCCAGCTGACCCCAAAGGGTGCCTGAATGGGCAGATGGATGGAGGGATGGGGGATGGATGGATGGAGGGATGGATGGATGGATGATGGATGGATGGGGGATGGATGAATGGATGGACGTACAGATAGACAGACAGACGGACAGACGGATGGATGGACACGTGGATGGATGGACATACAGATGGATGGATGGACACATGGATGGATGGACATACAGATGGATGGATGGGTGGATGGACACACGGATGGACACACGGATGGACAGCAGCAGCTCTGTGGATGCACAGACAGCTCTGAGGATGGCTGGGTGAATCAGCTGGCCCAGACAGATGGGTGACCAGACTGCCTCCAATGCTGTGACCTTCTGATCTCTTCCTATTTCGAGGCAGGAAAACAGGAATTAATTTTAATCCGCTGCGTGTATTCCAGCAGCGCTCACGTCCGCAATCACGTCTCTCCTGCCCTCCAAAAGCTGGCTTCTCCTCCTTGGGATCCTATTGCCTCAGGATCCTGAGCTGTAAGACAGGCAATATTTCCTGCCAGACAAAACACTGTGTGCATATGTAGCACCTCGTTAAGATGCAGCACTGGTGGCGGGGCCGTGCCCAGCCCAGATTACCTCCTTCCTGACCTATTTGTCTCTCCCACTATCAGCTGGGTGATCAGGGGGGGCTGGATTTTCAGAAATCTGCCTCCCTGTGGGAGGGATTTTGTTTTGCCTGGGCAGGGCTGGAGTTGTCAGGAGGGAGGACAGGAGAAAGGACAGGAGGAACACTGCAGAGCCCACGGGTCAGAGCTCCCCACAGTTCTCCCTGATGGATGCCCTGGAAAGAGAATGGGCTAGGGAAGCTGCTCTCAGCCCAGCCCAGGTGCCACTGTCTGATTTTCCATCCCTCCTGCTCCATCCAGGTTTTCCCAGGATGTCCCCAGGGAGGTGGCAGGGCTCAGCTGGAGAACACAGCCCATCGTCCCTGTGGGGACCATTCACCTCATCCCATCACCATTCTTGGGGGAGATGGGGGTGGCAGACCCTGCTCTGCTCGGGGTTCAGGAGGAGCAGAGCCATTTCTGTGAGGTGTAGAGGATGCTGTGGGGAGGGGGCAGCCAGGGAAACACCCCCAGCCCCCCTTGCCTGCCCCAGAGCCCAGCCAGGAGCCCCAGTTCCTGTCCCCAGTTCCCATCAAACCCTCCACCACGTGGTCCTACCTCAGTGATGCCAACTTCTCCTTTTCCATTTCATCCCAAGGTCCCTCCCGGAGAGCATCGCCGCCAGCCTGGCTCCCAGGGTAACCTTCCCCCTTCCTCCTCCTCTTCCTCCTGCTCTTCCTCCTGGACCCCTCTGTGTCTCCTCACACCTCAGGATGCCCTCAGCACCCAGCCACTCTCTGGTCCCACTAACACCAGGCTGGGACAAGGGACAAGGACAAGGGGCCGACTCCCGATGTCGCTGTCCCCTGTGTCCCCGTGCCTCCCGTGTCCCTCCTCATCCTCAGGCGCCGGGCGGGCTGCAGCTCGCCTCCCGCTAATCCCGAACGTCTCTTTTTCAGCAGCTTTCAATCTTTGGTGTCTGGGAAACACAAAAGCCACATTAACCTGCTCACTTTCCGCCCTCGACGCTGCCTAATCCAGGACTAACACCGCGGGGGAGGGCGCAGGGGAGGAGGAGCGGGATGGAGGGATGGATGGATGGATGGAGGGATGGATGGATGGATGGATGGACGGGGAGGTGATGCCGGGTGGCCGCATCCTGACGCCGCTGGGATGCTTGGCTGCCCTGCCTCAATGCTGGGGGCCCAGCGCCCTTCCAGCGTCCAGGACCCCCTTCCCCTGACTCAGTTTCCCTTTTCCATTCGCAGCGCCCGCAAGCGTCCCATCCCCTACTACCGGCCCAGCCCCTCGTCCTCCAGCTCGCTGAGCACCTACTCGTACAGCCGGAGCCGCAGCCNGAGCCCCCCAGAAAGTCGAGACAAGGCGATAACAATTAAGCAGCGCTGACGTCAGATCTGTAAGTTTATTTGCTCAATGTACGACGGCTACATAATGACTCACATTCATGATATTCCATCACTGAGGAAAAACTGCTAAGAATGGTCCGTGTGTGAAATAATTCCTTACAGAAACACGGAGTTGGAAAAATAATCACTGATTAGACCTTAAAAATAGTTCACTGCATAACATGACAAAAAGCACAAACAAAGGCTCATTCAAAGAACACAGTCATTGTTCTCCTACACTGTAATAGTTATAATTTCACCATGACGAACACCAGACATTAAGATTAAGCTAACACTGGTGTTTTCTTTTGCTTTTTTTTTTCCTTTTTAAAAACAAAATCATATATAATTGCATGTCACTATAGCAACATCCATAACAGATCAGTTTGTTACGATCACTATTTGGTAGAGCAAACTTTACCCCCGAAAAAAAAAAAGGAAAGAAAAATAAATTAAAAAACTTTAAAAAATTTTTGAAGACTATTTTGTCATAGGAATACATAACATCTACAGTATAAGTTAATAAATTTCAAGCTACTGTATAGAAATACGACACTAGCATGCACAATATTGTATCAATAGAGTAATGGAGCAGTAATCATTTCACTGGAGAGACAGTATCATAGGCAAGTGCATCTCTTAAAAAATGAAAGAAACCATTCAAGCTGCTTAAAAATCAAGTCCCTGACCCCCACTCCGTTTTTAGCCCTCTTGTGCCATCTCTCCTGCATAAGTTTCCTAAAGCAGCCAGAGCAAAAAGCCAAAAAGAGTAGTAATTATTTGGGGAAAAAAAAACATAAAAAAAAAAAAAAAGAAGATAAGTTTTGTAATTCCAGTAAATCACTTCCAATTACACAGCTGGGACAACACTGCTCACGGGACACGGGGGTGGATGAGAGGGAAAGCCTAAAGCATCTCCCGGTCCCGGCACTCGGCGGCACCGCACACCCTCACCGCGGGAAGCTGCAGCCCCAGCTCCCTGCGGGGCGCTCGGAGCAGGGAGAGCCCGACCCAAACCAAGCCGGGCCCCAGCGGTGCCGTGTGTGCCTCACCACGTGCCGGGCTGGCTCTCGCAAGGGCCGGGGAAAGCCTGCTTCCAAATCAGCGTCAGAATCTCAGAATCACGATAAGGACTGAATCAAAGCACGAGCGCGGGTTCTCCTCGCTGCGCGGCGCTGGGGAAGCGCTGCAGGGCGCAGCGCTCCGCGAGCCAGAGAACAGCACTGAACCTCCAACAACCATGGAAAAAAACCAAAATTAAAGCTAAACTTACTCAAAATGGGGTAAGTAGTACCTGCTAAGCAATTCAGATGCCCCAACTCCCACCCCCGGCCGGATCAGACAGACTGAGAAAAGATTTTGCTAAGAAGAGAACTAAGTTCCTGGGCTCCCGATGGTGGACAGAAATGTCTATGATTGTAGCTCTTCCCTTGAGGAATTTCTCTACCAAATTAGTGTCTAAGCTCCTGAAGTTCACTCATTACACCACAAGCTTCCCCAGGAGAAAGGAAAACGCACCCGGCTTCCCTGGTGACAAACAAGGGAGCCCTGGGTGCTGGAGATCTGCTGACAAACCTCATGGTACAGTGGGAGAAAGTCAGGCAGAGTGAAATGGCAGTGCAATCCCTGAGGAAGCAGCTGTGGCACCTTAAATCAGGATGGTCTTTTGAAATACCAAACACAGTACATGACATACAGACCTGAATGCTCTTTTTTTTAAATATTTTTTATTGTTTTTTATTTAAGTGGCATTTTTTTTTTAAGTTTAAACACTTCCCCCTTTGTCTAATTAAGTTCTTAAACCTTTTGCTGTGGACTTAAAATAGTTGAAACAGCCGCTAGCCAAGCACCTGTTAAGCTGTTGACCAAAAAACTAGAGCAGCTTTGATGTTCCTCGGGCGGGCGGTCTTCTTGCCTTGGGCGACACAGAATAGCTAAAGCCAGTCCACAGGCGAGGACTGCTCAGGAAGGCAAGCCAAAAGAACTAGCAAAAGAAAGAAAAACAGACAATCAAAGGCTTGATGTCATATGGCTGTAATGTAGAAATACTGTAAACTGCAATTTAGTGTTAATACTGTAAGCTACCCTAATAAATATCTCAACCAAAAAAAAAAAAAAAAAAAAAAAAAAAAAAANCCCTCGGGCAGCCCCGCACGCCATGGCCGAGCGCCGCGTCCCCTTCACCTTCCTGCGCAGCCCCAGCTGGGACCCCTTCCGCGACTGGTACGGTGAAAGATGCATGGGTTTTATCATTGGCTTTTTGCTAATATTGTATGTGTTGTGTTAGAAAGTTATGCTGTGTTAATTCTCTTAAGTACTGTGGTAAATGCGGTTTTAGGTTATAAAAAATGTTAAAATAGGAACTATGCTATGCAGGATGCTTTTTTTAAAGAAAGGACTTGCAGTGAGATAGCAGCCACAGGACACCTAAATCTTTCAGAGAAAATGAATTTATTGGTCTCTTATCAGAAGAAACGAACTTCTTCCTGCCTCGAAGGCGCCGTTAGGATTCGGAGGAAGAAGTTGACACTGACCAGACAGAATCCTGTGTTTGAATGGAATTTATGCATCATGTATGAGATGGATGAATATGCAACAGGCTATTGCTTTTAAGGGTTAATCCTCTGTTAACGTGGGTCCTTTTTCGGGCTCCTGCTGCCCAGAAAAAGGTACCCAGACATCCGTAACTCTTTATATTTATTGTCTCATATTGTCCTATTCCAAATTGTCCAAATTATTATTACTCTAATTATATTACTATTTTTTATAACCATTTTATCCGAACTCTTTCCCTACTGGAACCCAAGAGAAAGATTTCCGGGGACTCCTCTGCTTTTAACCCCTGTGTTCTCAGAGGCATATCCACATCCCCAGTGGCCACACTGGGTGCCAATATTCAAATCTGAGCAGCGCAGCAGCATCCCAAAAAACTCACTTCCTTTCAAACCACCACACTATTAAACTTTGAAAATTTTAAAAACGAGCGATTGGTGTTTTTCCCCAGGTACCATGGCAGCCGCCTGTTCGACCAGTCCTTCGGGATGCCGCACATCCCCGAGGATTGGTACAAGTGGCCGAGCGGCAGCGCCTGGCCCGGCTATTTCCGC